CACACACACACACACACACACACACACACACACACACACACACACACACACACACACACACACACACACGCACAGCTTTTTTTCTTCAGTCATTATCAAGTGTCTGGTACCCATGAGGCACTTCCGGTGTTGTTTTTAATCTCTTGCTTTTAATTTTGCACATGTGCCAGGTTGCACATATATTTCAGCCAATCAGGTGAGTTTAGTAGAGTTTACACGCGAATGCGAAGCTTTTACGCTTCAGCACATGCGTGCGTCACAGTCAACTTGATGTTTCTTTTTTTCCTGTCCGATATGGCCCACTGAAGCACTCTTCATTTAGAATTTTATTTCGTATGTGCAAACCCGGAGATCATCTGCAATTCTATTTCAGTGTCATATTTTCAAAAAGCTGTATCAAAAGAGTGAAATAAAAACACTGACACTGATAACAATAGCATGCTGTTTACAGAGTGCATTTATTAATTTATTTATTTCCATGACCATTTTTGCACAAAACTCACATGCAGCGGGCGGATGGCATCTCTTTCTGTGTATCATGGAAAGTTTGACTGAAGGCTGGTGTTTCAAAATTTCAAATGTGTTTTAATGTATTGCAGGGGCATGAAAAATGTGCAGTTAGGGGAAAGATGACTACATTTTTCATTTTTCTATTTTTGTATGTGTGTGGAAAGCGTTGCTCAATAATTGTGCCATTGTGTTTAAAATGTATAGAATGAGTCAAAACCATGAAACTATTACGCATATCCTCTTTCTGCCCCAGGTAAAATGTGCATGGGGGGGGGGGGGGTCAAAGCACTTGCATTTTACAACTTTCTCATTTTGGAGAGGCCCCTTTCATCTTGATTCACATGATCCAAATAATAATGAAACCGAATATGTCATCCTGAATCCAAATCATTTCATGTTAAACTTATACTTAGAACAAATGTTGAAAATGCATGCTTCTCACGGTATCATATTGGACACATTAAAACATAATTTATTTGACATAAATATCTAAATAAAATGTTCTCATAAGATAAGATGAGGTAACATTTATGAGTCCCACAACGGGAGAATTTGCAAACAAATGAAAACATAAAAATAATAATGAAATGTTATGTAACAAACAAGAATTTAAGATCGACACTTACTATAAACTGTCTTATGAAATATACAACACAGATTCAAAATGTATAGTATGTATTTTGTGTTCATCTGGCTGTTGATGTCATGCATGATGTTATTTTTCGAAGGTAAATAAAACCAACTCATTATATTGCTTTTTTTTTTTTGTGTGTTTCTGTATGTGTGATTGTATGTATGAAATAATGACTCAAAATGAAAATACATGGGTGTATAAATATAGTGTCCCGTCTTGACTCCGCCTACACATAGATGGAGAGCATGGAGGGTAAAGAGGGCTACTCCTCCTCACTGGTCCACTCCTCTTCCTCCATTCAGAGATCACTTTTCCTGAAGACAACCTCTGTGCTCCTTGAATGGACCCAACACTCCTCCACGCCAAAGCGAAGACCAAAGCCGCTTGTCCTCTTTCCGCTTTTCTTTTCAACGTAGTCAAGTTGACCGCCGCATCACCATGAACTTGAGGAGTTTCTGCAGAGTGTGTGGTATTTCCCCAAAATTGATGGGCATCAACTGACCCAGACTTTGGCAAGACGTCTTAGTAACAAAGTGGATCTTTGGGGGCAAGAGGTCAGTAAGGCGGTTTAATTGATAAGGAGGCAACTTCCATCTTGTGTGTGTGTGTGCGTGTGTGTGTGTGTGCGTGTGTGTGTGTGTGTGTGTGTGTGTGTGTGTGTGTGTGTGTGTGTGTGTGTGTGTGTGTGAGTGTGTGTGTGTGCGTGTTCCTTTTGGTTCTGGACCACCCCTCCAGGACTTCGGTGGTCATGTAAGGGTTGGACAGAGACAGGTGGTCCACCATGCAGGTGTAGGCCACGCCGTCGTCGCCTCGGCCCACCTGGAAGTGGAGGCTGCTCCTCACCGTGAACGACTTGCCCGAGGCGCTCACCTCCGTCGTGCCTGCGCGAACGCAAATGACAAGCAGCTCTCACGACACGTCAGTAGGTGACGGCATCCCCCCACCCCGCAAACGTCGTCCTTACTCCTTCACAGTTTTACTTTAGTTCCGTTTGATAGCAGTGCAGTCGAAACCTGGGTTTCAGTATGCCCTGTTGTTTTTGTTTTTGTTTTTGTTTTTGAATCTTTGGCCCTATTTTAGTACAACTGCCTGCCGGGCTACTATAAATATTTCCTCATGTCGCTTAAAGTCTTTTGTTCTTGTTTTAACCTTCACAGTTGTGATTCTTGTTGATTTCTCGCGCAAAAAGAGGCGAGACCGTACAGAGCAAATACCCACAGAGGCCACGTTGCTCGCAATATGAAGTCTCACATTTGTGGACTTCCGGTTCCGGGTCGCTGCGCTGTGGTCGACCGGTCTACGTCCGGAGCGGTTTTTCTTACTTTTCTTGCTTTTTTCCCACATTTCTCACCTACACTCCGTGCTTTTCCGAGCTCCGCAGGCCCGCGTTACTTTAGCGCGGCTGTTCGAGCTATAAATCCCGCACTTTTCCCCCTTCGATTATCTTTTTTCATTCATTCGTTAGCCCCGGTGCTAACAGCGAGCGAGTGCTACAGCTAGCACCTTCAGCTAGCCCGGTGCTCATGGCGAGTGCTCCTAGCCGGTGCTAACGACATCAACACTGCACCTCCACCATATTTTTGGCTCAACTCAACTTAAGACTTACACCAAATATGACCACCTACACGAGGGAACAGCTGCTGCTTCTCAGAGACGTCCCGCTGCCGGTCCCCCCTCTCATCGTCGGGCTCCCCGACGCGATGTGCGTCC